TCCAAATCCATTAAACTGAGACTCTAAATCCATTAAACAAGCCCCCCATTCCTCCTTCCCCAAAGTGCCTAGCCACCACCATCCAACTTTCTGTTTCAGTGAATTTGACTATTCTTCATGCCTCATATAATGGAGTCATTGAGTATTTGTCCTTTTGTGACTGGCTTATTTCAGTTAGTAAAACGTCCTCAAGTTCATCTGTGTTGTAGCATGTGTCAGATTTTCCTTCCTTTTTAAAGCTGAATCAGTTATATGTATGTACTACATTTGCTTACCCATTCTCTTAGGTGGCTCCTACCTGTTGTCTATTGTGAATAATGCTGCTGTGAACATGGGTATACAGTTATCTCTTTATTTATTTGCTCTGTTGCCCAGGCTGGAATGCAGTGGCATAATCATGACTCACTGCAGTCTTGATCATCTGGGCCTAAGTGGTCCTCTCACCTCAGTTTCCCAAGTAGCTGGGACTACAGGCACACACCACCACATCCACTAATTAAAAAAAAATTGGCCAGGTGTGGCGACTCACACCTGTAATCCCAGCACTTTGGGAGGCCAAGGTGGGTGGATCATGAGGTCAGGAGATCGAGACCATCCTGGCTAACATGGTGAAACCCCATCTCTACTAAAAATACAAAAAATTAGCCAGGTGTAGTGGTGGGCGCCTGTAGTCCCAGTGAGTTGTGAAGCCAGCTGGACCTCCTGGGTTGAGTGGGGACTTGGAGAACTTTTCTGTCTAGCTAGAGGATTGTAAACACAGCAATCAGCACTCTGTGTTTAGCTGAAGGATTGTAAATGCACCAATCAGCACTCTGTGTCTAGCTAAAGGATTGTAAATATGTCAACACTCTGTAAAAATGGACCAATCAGCACTTTGTAAAATGGACCAATCAGCAGGACGTGGGCAGAGACAAATAAGGGAATAAAAGCTGGCCACCCCAGCCAGCAGTGGCAACCCACTTGGGTCCCCTTCCATGCTGTGGAAGCGTTGTTCTTTCGCTCTTCACAGTAAATCTTGCAGCTGCTCACTCTTTGGGTCCGTGCCACCTTTAAGAGCTGTAACACCGTGAAGATCTGTGGCTTCATTCTTGAAGTCAGCGAGACCAAGAACCCACTGGAAGGAACCAACTCTGGACATACCAGCTACTTGGGAGGCTGAGGCAGGAGAATGGCATGAACCAGGGAGGTGGAGCTTACAGTGAGCCAACCTTGCACCACTGCACTGTAGTCTGGGCAACAGTGTGAGACTCTTATCTCAAAAAAAAAAAAAAAAAAAAAATTTGTGGAGCTGGAGTCTAACTATGTTGCCCAGCCTTGTCTCAAACTCCTGAGATCAAGCAATCCTCCTGCATCAGCCTCCCAAAATGCTGGGATTACTGGTGTGAGCCAATGTGCCTGGCGAGTTAGCTCTTTGAGAGCATACTTTCAATTCTTTTGGATATGTAACCAAAAGTAGAATTGCTGGATCATATGTAATTTTATTTTAATTTTGAAGAACTATCATACTATTTTTCATACTGGCTATTTACCATTTCACATTCTTACCATTGTGCACAAGGTTACCAATTTCTCCACGTCCTTGCCAACACTGTTTTTTTTGGTGTGTGTGTGTGTGTGTGTGTGTGTGTGTGTTTGAGATGGAGTCTTGCTCTGTCGCCCAGGCTGTAGTCAGTGGTGTGATCTCGGCTCACTGCAACCTCCGCTTCCTGGGTTCAAGCGATTCTTCTACCTCAACCTCCCAAGTAGCTGGGACTACAGGTGTGCAACACCACACCTAGCTAATTTGTATATTTTTAGTGCAGACGGGGTTTCACCACATTGGCCGGGCTGGTCTCGAACTTCTGACCTCATGATCTGCGCCCCCCCCCCCCCAGCCTTCCAAAGTGCTGGGATTATAGGCGTGAGCCACTGTGCCTGGCCACCATTTTTTTTTTTCTAATAGTAGCCATCCTAATAAGTGTGAGGTGATATCTCACTGTGGTTTTATTTTCCCTAATGATTAGTGATCTTGAGTGTCTTTTCCTGCGTTCATTGGCCATTGATGTATCTTCTTTGGAGAAATGTCTGTTCAAGTTCTTTGTTTATTTTACAATTGTGTATTGTTGTTGTTGAGTTGTAGGAGTTTTTTTGTTATTTTTGTTTTTGTTTTTGAGACAGGGTCTTACTCTGTCACCCAGGCTGGGGTTGAGTGGCATGATCTCGGCTCACTACCACCTCTGCCTCCCAGGTTCCAGTGATTCTCCCGCCTCAGCTTCCCAAGTAGCTGGCATTACAGGTGTGCACCACCACACCTGATTAATTTTTTTTTTTTTTTGAGACGGAGTCTCGCTCTGTGGCCCAGGCTGGAGTGCAGTGGCCGGATCTCAGCTCACTGCAAGCTCCGCCTCCCGGGTTTACGCCATTCTCCTGCCTCAGCCTCCCAAGTAGCTGGGACTACAGGCACCCGCCACCTCGCCCGGCTAGTTTTTTGTCTTTTTAGTAGAGACGGGGTTTCACCGTGTTAGCCAGGATGGTCTTGGTCTCCTGACCTCGTGATCCGCCCGTCTCGGCCTCCCAAAGTGCTGGGATTACAGGCTTGAGCTACCGCGCCTGGCCACCTGATTAATTTTTTTGCATTTTTAGTAGAGACCAGGGCTTAGTAGAGACAGGTTTAGTAGAGATGGGGTTTCGCCATGTTGGCCAAGCTGGTCTCAAGCTCCTGGCCTCAAATGATCTGCCCACCTTGGCCACCCAAAGTGCTGGCATTACAGGTGTGAGCCACCGCACATGGCAGGAGTTCTTTATATATTGTGGATATTAACTCCTTATCAGAATAATGATTTACAAATATCTTCTCCCATCTCATGGGTTGTCCTCTCTCTTTTCCTTTGATTCACAGTTCTGGTTTTTAAAAATTTTATTATATATTTTGTAAGACATTTAAAAGAATAATACAGTAAACGTTTTTATAACCACTATCAAATTAAATATTAGTAAATTAGTTTGCTCCCGAGTTTCCCTTTATTGATTACAAGTCCCTCACCAAAGGTAACCACTAATGAATTTGATTTTTCTCTGACTAGTTTATACTCCTTAGACAGCCTGTTAGTGTATTAGAAGCTTGTCATGACTGAAGTAAAAATTCTGCAAAGATCCTGGGGAAGGCTAAGGTGGGATGAGTTCTTTCTTAAATTTTCGTGATGCTGTTGTCCAAAGCCCAGTTCAGCACCCTATCAGAGATACTTGCACATAATAGGTATACAGAAATGTTTGTTGAATGACTATTTGGAACCCATGTACTTGTGATTGAAGATATTTTGTACCACTATTTTTTTTTTTTTTTTGAGACGGAGTCTTGCTCTGTTGCCCAGGCTGGAGTGCAGTGGCCGGATCTCAGCTCACTGCAAGCTCCGCCTCCCGGGTTCACGGCATTCTCCGGCCTCAGCCTCCTGAGCAGCTGGGACTACAGGCGCCCACCACCTCGCCCAGCTAGTTTTTTTTTTTTTTTTGCATTTTTTAGTAGAGATGGGGTTTCACCGTGTTAGCCACAATGGTCTCGATCTCCTGACCTCGTGATCCACCCGTCTCGGCCTCCCAAAGTGCTGGGATTACAGGCTTGAGCCACCGCGCCCGGCCCTGTACCACTATTATACTATTTTCTCTCTCTTTTTTTTTTTTGTGACAGAGTCTTATTCTGTCACCCAGGCTGGAGCGCAGTGGTGCGATCTCAGCGCACTGCAACCTCCACCTCCTGGGTTCGAGCAATTCTCCTTTCTCACTCTCCCAAGTAGCTGGGACTACAGGCGCACACCACCACGCCTGGCTAATTTTTGTATTTTTGTTAGAGACAGGTTTTCACCTTGGTCAGGCTGGTCTTGAACTCCTGACCTCAGGTGATCCACCCACCTCAGCCTCCCAAAGTGCTGGGATTACAGGCGTGAGCCACCATGCCTGGCCGCTATTATACTATTTTTTTTTTTTCTTTTTTGAAACGGAGTCTCGCTCTATCACCCAGGCTGGAGTGCAGTGGTGTGATCTCAGCTCACTGCAAGCTCCGCCTCCCGGGTTCATGCCATTCTCCTGCCTCAGCCTCCCGAGTAGCTGGACTACAGGTGCCCACCACTACACCTGGCTAATATTTTTGTATTTTTAGTAGAGACAGGGTTTCACAGTGTTAGCCAGAATGGTCTCGATCTCCTGACCTCATGATCCACCCACCTTGGCCTCCCAAAGTGCTGGGATTACAGGTGTGAGCCACCATGCCTGGCTATTATACTATTTTGATATGAAGTGAAGTTTAGATATCTCTGTGTTAGGATTACTGTATACCAATAAATAGACTGCTATGGCAGAGTAAATGTTTTCTTAAAGATAGCGGAACTGAGGGCAAACTTGAGTTGGGAACATTTTAGCTCTAAATACATACAGTACATTTAGCTGCCTTGGCTAATTTAACTTTTAGACAGGGCAAATGGAATAAGGCAATGTTGAGGTGCTACGTTTTTGGTTCAGAAAAATGACTGTAAGTTTTGAAAGAAGGCATGATTCTGGTAAGATCTGACTGTGGACAAGGGGCTGTTGAAATAAACTGCAGTGTTTCCAGGGCAGTGGTGAAGGACTTGACCTCCATTATAGCTGAAAATGAAGTCCTTCTATAACGAAGCCATAGTAGCAGCAGCAGCAGCTGTTGCCACTGCCACCTGCGTTCAGTGGCTGTGTGAGGTGGCTAGACCAGGAAGTGATTCCATGGCACTAGGCATGTATAACGAAGGACTTTGGCTCTGGCAGAGTGGTTGTACAGGTTGTGGGTGTCACTTTAAACATACAAAGATCTGCTTGCTGGAGGAGGGGCAGCTTCTTGAGGATCAGGTGTGCAACTGAAAGGGATGAGCTCATCCTTCTCACCAGACCTGCTCTAGACGCTGACTGAATGTTTTCCTAATTGCAAGTCCTGCAGCTGGGAGAAGCAGGAAATGATTGACGCTTCAGGCACTTGGTGAGTAGTAAAAAAAAAAAAAAGAAAGGAAAAAGTAAAAAAGGCATTTTTGGGGAAGCTTTTGAAATATGTGTGTGAATATCAGGTTGAAGGTGACATACACACACATAATCTTTCTCTAAGTTGAGGATTGCAGTAAAGTGTATTGTGGTGTTGAGGAAAGCAAAGCTTTGGTGGTTCTAACTTTATTCTACTACTTCCTTTTGAGGTGACTTTTCATGACTTAACAATTTTGTTTCCTACAGTGTCTTGACTGGTTTCATTTCTCTAGGAAATAAGAATCCCGGGAGCTCCTTTTTTATTTTCAAGGATCTTCATGGCTTGTTTTGGAGCTTTTATTGATGAAACTTATCCCACATTTGAAGGCTTCTGTGTTGGATTTCAGAGCTCCTATACATGATCCTGTTTTGTTTTAATTTACCCAAACTTTCCTATTCACTTTAGGTAAGGTTCTTAAAAATGAAATTGGTTTAGAAAAGAAATATCAATTGTTTATCATTTATTTATTTGTAACCTTTATTTTAGGTTCCAGGGTACATGTGCAGGTTTGCTATATAGGTAAACTACATGTTACAGGGGTTTGATGTACAAATTATTTCATCATCCAGGTAATAAGCATAGTACCTGATAGGTAGTGTGTGTTTTTTTTTTTTTGAGATGGAGTTTCGCTCTAGTCACCCAGGCTGGAGTGCAGTGGCGCCATCCCAGCTCACTGCAACCTCCACCCCCCAGGTTCAAGCGATTCTCCTGCCTGAGCCTCCTGAGTAGCTGGGATTACAGGCAGCCGCCACCACACCCAGCTAATTTTTGTATTTTTGTTAGAGATGGGGTTTCACCATGTTGGCCAGGCTGGTCTCAAACTCCTAACCTCAGGTGATCCGCCTGCCTCAGCCTCCCAAAGTGCTGCATTGTAGGCCTGAGTCACCGCGCCTGGCCCCTGATAGGTAGTTCTTTGATTCTCACCTTCCTTCCACCTTCTATCCTCAAGTAGGCCCCAATTGTTTATTATTTTGAATGGAACTTTTTATCTTGAGATAATTCTAGATTTATACAGAGTTAAATAATATTGATCTGATGTACCATTTACCTCGTTTCCCCCAATGGCAATATCTTCCAAAATTACAGTACAATTTTACAACCGGGATATTGATGTTGATACAGTCAAGGTACCAAATATTTTCATCACCACAGGATCTACTGTGTTGTCCTTTTATAGCTACCCCCACTTCCCTTCCACCCCTATACTTTCCTTTTTTTTTTTTTTTTGAGACGGAGTCTTGCTCTGTCGCCCGGGCTGGAGTGCAGTGGCCGGATCTCAGCTCACTGCAAGCTCCGCCTCCCGGGTTTACGCCATTCTCCTGCCTCAGCCTCCCGAGTAGCGGGGACTACAGGCGCCCGCCACCTCGCCCGGCTAGTTTTTTGTGTTTTTAGTAGAGACGGGGTTTCACCGTGTTAGCCAGGATGGTCTCGATCTCCTGACCTCGTGATCCGCCCGTCTCGGCCTCCCAAAGTGCTGGGATTACAGGCTTGAGCCACCGCGCCCGGCCTCCCTATACCTTTCTTAACTCCTGTCAACCGCTAATCAAAAAATCAGTTTTTAGCAGAGAAAATTTTACGTGCAATCCTGAGAAGTTCTGTATGAAAGATACACATGGCCTTATGAAAAGAGCCCTTGGGTTAAACGCGGTGGCTCACAACTGTAATCCCAGCACTTGGGAGTCTGAGGTGGGTGGATCACCTGAAGTCGGGAGTTCAAGGCACCCTGACAAACATGGAGAAACCCCGTCTCTACTAAAAATACAAAATTAGCCGGGTGTGGTGGCGCATGCCTGTAATCCTAGCAACTCAGGAGGCTGAGACAGGAGAATTGCTTGAACTCAGGAGGCAGAGGTTGCAGTGAGCCATGATCGCGCCATTGCACCCAGCAAGGGCAAAAAGAGCAAAACTCTGTCTCAAAAAAAAAAAAAAAAAAAAAAGCTCAAAACTGCAATTGATTTTGGTTCATTGTAGCTCTTTACCTTGGACAAATAATTTTAATTTCTCTGTGCTTCAGTTTTCTTATCTATACAATGGGATAGCAGTATATTAACCTATTTTGCAGGATTTTTGAGAAATTGTAAAGCTCTTTCAAAAAATAAATATTATATAGATTATTGTTAGCAGCAGGGATAATTGTTTTCAAACTAGAAAGTATATAGCAAGTTAAAAACTGGAAACTATAGCCCAAGATGGTAATAGTGAACATTTTTAAATGAATTTAAGTCTTTTTTTTTTTTTTTTTTTTTTTTTTTTTGAGACGGAGTCTCACTCTGTCGCCCAGGCTGGAGTGTAGTGGCCAGATCTCAGCTCACTGCAAGCTCCGCCTCCCGGGTTTATGCCATTCTCCTGCCTCAGCCTCCCGAGTAGCTGGGACTACAGGCGCCCGCCACCTCGCCCGGCTAGTTTTTTTGTATTTTTTAGTAGAGACGGGGTTTCACCGTGTTCGCCAGGATGGTCTCGATCTCCTGACCTCGTGATCCGCCCGTCTCGGCCTCCCAAAGTGCTGGGATTACAGGCTTGAGCCACCGTGCCCGGCCGAATTTAAGTCTTAAGGGTGAAATGAATTACATTTCAGGATACTGAGTTAACTGGCTGATGATCTCAGAGCCACTGTTGTTAATCTTTGAGAAACCATAAAGATAGAGAGAGACAAATGTCTTTATATCCAAAAAGAGGAAAGGAAAGTAGTTGGAAAACCATAGACGTGTAAAATTGTTGAATCTTGGGAAAATTCAATTATAAATGACTAAATATAATATGGAGTATTAAGGAGAAAGAAGAGTATGGGTTGATTGATCATAATAAATTCTATTTCTATTTTTGGATTTCATTACTTCTATTTAGGATTAAGAGTTTGTGGATCAGGGGATTGTTCTACATATAGTGAGTCAAAATCCCATTAGTTTCACAGTCTTTCATGTGGCTGATCATGTGTAGTGATACAAATTTCATTGATTGGTTAAGTGTATGTGTCAGACATTGAATAACTGTATCCACTGACCATCTTGATTTTACCAGTAAGGTCCCTGGTAGATTATTCTTATTTTTTCCACGGGCAGTCAGTCTGCATGGGTTATTTTATTTTTTTTGAGACGAAGTCTTGCTCTGTTGCCCAGGCTGGAGTGCAGTGGTGTGATCTCGGCTCACTGCAACCTCCGCCTCCCGGGTTCAAGTGATTCTCCTGCCTCAGTCTCCCAAGTAGCTGGGATTACAGGTGCCCACCACCATGCCCGGCTAATTTTTATATATTTAGTAGAGACAGGGTTTCACCAAGTTGGCCAGGCTGCTCTTGAAATCCTGACCTCGGGTGATCCACCCGCCTTGGCCTCCCAAAGTGTTGGGATTACAGGAGTGAGCCACCACACCTGGCCTCCTTTTCCATCTTAACTAAGCACTTACATAACCACTGAACGGGTTCATTCTGTCCATTGCCCCCATACAGCTGATTTATCAAGACAGGAGAATAGCAATGGAGAAAGAGTTTAATTCACGCAGAGCTGGCTGCACAGGAGACCAGAGTTTAATTATTACTCAAATCAGTCTCCTGGAATATTCCAGGATTGGGGTTTTAAAGGCTAATTTGGTGGGTAGAGGGCCAGAGAGTGGGGAGTGTTGATTGCTTAGGTCACCAATGAAATCACAGGGAGTCGAAGCTGTCGTTTTACACTGAGTCAGTTCCTGGGTGGGACCACAAGACCAGATGAGACAGTTTATTTATCTGGATGGCACCAGGTGATCCATCGAGTTCAGGGTTTGAAAAATATCTCGAGCACCAATCTTAAGTTTTACATTAGTGATGTTATCCCTAGGAGCAGTTAGGGAGGTGCAGAACCTGGGGCCTTTAGCTGCATGATTCTTAAAGCATAATTTCTAATCTTGTAGCAATTTGTTAGTCCTACAAAGGCAGTCTAGTCCCCAGGCAAGAAGAGGGTTTGTTTTGGGAAAGGACTGTGTTTTTGTCTTTATTTCAGAGTTAAACTGTAAACTAAGTTCCTCCCAAAGTTAGTTCACCTTTTGTCCAGAAATGAACAAGAACAGCTTGGAAGTTAGAAGCAACAGGGAGTCAGGTAGGTCAGATCTCTTTCACTGCAATAATTTTCTCAGTTATAATTTTTGCAAAGATGGTTTCACTTACCATGAACTATGGCCATGACTTTTTGCAATTTGAGGTTTGACAGTAAAACTGGCATGAATTTCCTTTCCTTCTTCACAATTTAATACATAGATTTGTTCTTATGGTAGACCTTAGCAGCTTTAGTGTAGCAGCTTAGCAGCTTTTTTTCTTTCCTTATTAAGTCGATAATTTTCACTTTTTCACTTAAAGGAAGCGCCTTATGGCTTCTCTTTGGCCTGTTGAATTGCCAGTATCACTACTCTTGCATTTTGGGACCATTGTTAAGTAAAATAAAGTTATTTGAACACAAGCATTGAGAGACCCTGACAATCGATCTGATAATTGAAGTGACTGTTGGGTGGGAAGTGTAGACATGTGGATAAGCTGGACAAAGATGATGCATGTCCTGGTCACTCACAAAATTTTTGTGTAATATTTTCAGGCCATGTTGACCTCAGGTAACAGAAACCTTGGAAACCACTGATGAGGGCAGGGTTGGGGGAACAACACGACCACTACTTTATTCTTTTTTTTTTTGAGACAGGATCTCACTCTGTTATTCAGACTAGAGTGTGATGGCCTGATCTCAGCTCATGGCAACCTCCACCTCCCCGGCTCAAGCAATTCTCCTGCCTCAGCCTCCTGAGTAGCTGGGATTACAGGCACGTACCACTACTGCCTGGCTAAATTTTTTTTTTTTGAGACAGAGTCTCGCTCTGTTGCCCAGGCTGGAGTGCAGTGGCTTGATCTCGGCTCACTGCAAGCTCCGACTCCCCTGTTTACACCATTCTCCTGCCTCAGCCTCTCGAGTAGCTGGGACTATAGGCACTCGCCACCACGCCCGGCTAATTTTTTTGTATGTTTAGTAGAGACGGGATTTTACTTTGTTAGCCAGGATGGTCTCGATCTCCTGACCTCGTGATCCGCCTGCCTCAGCCTCCCAAAGTGCTGGGATTACAGGCGTGAGCTACTGCGCATGGCTTAATTTTTGTATTTTTAGTAGAGATGGGGTTTCACCATGTGGGTCAGGCTGGTCTTGAAAGACCTCAAATGATCCACCTGCCTTGGCCTCCCAAAGTTCTGGGATTACAGGCATGAGCCACTGCACCCGGCCTCTTTTTTTTTTTTTTTGAATTGGATCTTGACTCTGTTGCCAAGGCTGGAGTGCGGTGGCACCATCTCAGCTCACTGCAATGTCCACCTCCTGGTTCAAGCGATTCTCCTGCCTCAACCTCCCGAGTAGCTGGGATTACCGGCGCACACCACCATGCCCAGCTAATTTTTGTATTTTTAGTCAAGACGGGTTTTTCACCATGTTGGCCAGGCTGGTCTCAAAATCCTGACCTCAAGAGATCTGCCCACCTTGGCCCCCCAAAGTACTGGGATTACAGGCGTCAGCCACCATGCCCAGCTGATTACTTTCTGTAAGACTAGCATTTAGGTAGTTCTGTGGTGTACTTGAGAGGGATTTTCATACTCTTCTTGCTTTCTAGGAGCTGTAAGTCCAGTCAAAGACTTTTAAAAACCCTTGTTCTAGAGACAGGGTGGTTAATGTTCATAGTGACATAATGCTATTTGATATAATTTTTAGAATTATGCAAGATATAGTTAAATAAATGAATTTAAATAATAATGATACTATGACATTAGAAGCCCAAATATGTGGCCCCTATCTCCCTTTCTTCTTTCTTTAGAGTCCATTTGTGTGAGAAATACAGAGATTTCTTGGATGATTTTTGCTGCTCAGGTCTGTGATTAATAGCCAAAGTTTCTCCAAAATATATTCTTTGGATCAGTTTTTTCCTCTTCCCTCTACCCTTTCTGCAATATTCCTCTTCTGAGTAATGTGTACTTGAGTGAAACAGCCAGCTGTTTAAGGTACACATGCTCTGCTAACATTGTGAATTAATCTCAGAATAAAAACTAGAGTCATCTGTGATTGCACAGGGATTGTACCTGTGACTAGCCACTGCATTCCAGCCTGAGCAACATAGTGAGACCCCGTCTTTAAAAGAAAATACTGGTGGGGCATGGTGGCTCACACCTGTAATCCCAGCACTTTGGGAGGCTGAGGTGGGTGGATCACCTGAGGTCAGGAGTTCGAGACCAGCCTCGCCAACATGGTGAAACCCTGTCTTGACTAAAAATACAAAAATTAGCCGGGCGTGGTGGCATGCATCTGTAATCCCAGCTACTCAGGAGGCTGAGGCAGGAGAATCACTTGAACCCGGGAGGCAGAGATTGCAGTGAACTGAGACTGTGGCACTGCACTGCAGCCTGGGTGACAGAGTGAGATGCTGTCTTAAAAACAAACAAAACCAAGATTTTTTTAAAAAGTTAAAAAAAAAAACAAAAACCCTAGACTCAAGTTAGTTATGTAGTTTTCCCTGTTTTTCATCTACTTCATGGTATATTCTTCCTTACAACCTAGAGTCAAAGGCTAGAATATTTTCTCTTAGGTTCCTTATTAGCTAAGATCAAGTCCATCTCTTATTTTTGTTTGCTAGAACTCCAGTTTAACAGCTCTGAATTAAGTTCCCCCTCTCTCCAGTATCAAATGCTAAAGCCTTTCACTTGATATAAAGCAGTCTCTTCCCCACCCCTCCCCACCCCCATCCTACAGTTTATTTAAAAGTCCCAGCCTAGGTAATATACTAAGACCCTGTTTCTTCAAAAATTTTTAAAAAATTAGCTGGGTCTGGTGGAACACACCTGTAGTCCCAGCTACTCGGGAGGCTGAGGGTAGAAGATTGCATGAACCCAGGAATTTGACGGTGCAGTAAGCTGTGATCACACCACTGCAGCCATCCTGGGCAACAGAGCAAGAACCTGTCTCTTAAAAAATAAAAAGTCCCCAAATTTTGTCACTACATTCTAAAATCTAGAGTCTTTTATTGACTGGGTGCAGTGGCTCACACCTGTGATCTCAGCACTTTGGGAGGCTGAGTCAGGCGGATCACTTGAGGTCAGGAGTTTGAGACCAGCCTGGCCAACATGGCGAAGCCCCATCTCTACTAAAAACACAAAAACTAGCTGGGCGTAGTGGCACCCACCTGTAATCCCAGCTACTTAGGAGGCTGAGGCAGAAGAATCACTTGAACCTGGGAAGTGGAGGTTACAGTGAACTGAGATCATGCCACGGCACTCCAGCTTGGGTGACAGAGAAAGACTCAGACTCAAAAAAAAAAAAAAGAGTCTTTTATTTTCCAATCTCATTCCTACTGTGGAGTCACTCAGTTCCTGCCTTTACTGCCAACATCAGCATTATCATTAGCATCTCAGAAATAAAAGACAACAATGATGGTTTGACTTTGGGGTTACTCCAGAGGGAGTCATTTTGGTTTTTCTTAGAGAAATCCTCTGTTTCTCTTTTATGACTTTTAAAAAAAATACAAAAAACTAGTTTTTGAGACGGAGTCTCACTCTGTGGCCCAGCCTGGAGTGCAGTGGCCGGATCTCAGCTCACTGCAAGCTCCACTTCCCGGGTTCACGCCATTCTCCTGCCTCAGCCTCCCGAGTAGCTGGGACTACAGGCGCCCGCCACCTCGCCCGGCTAGTTTTTTGTATTTTTTTTAGTAGAAGCGGGGTTTCACCGGGTTAGCCAGGATGGTCTCGATCTCCTGACCTCGTGATCCACCCGTCTCGGCCTCCCAAAGTGCTGGGATTACAGGCTTGAGCCACCACGCCCGGCCATGACTTTTAAGAGAAGCAAAATGTTATTTTATTAAATTGAACATTCTGTTGTACCCTCCTCTATTTGCTAGTGGAAACCAATAATGAAAAGTTACGGAATGTGACCAAATAGGACTTTTCAGCTTGTGCTTTTCCATTACCCTCCTCACTACCCTCCAAGGATTTTTCTTTTTTTTTTTCTTTCTTTTTTTTTTTTTTTGAGACGGAGTCTGGCTCTGTCGCCCAGGCTGGAGTGCAGTGGCCGGATCTCAGCTCACTGCAAGCTCCGCCTCCCGGGTTTACGCCATTCTCCTGCCTCAGCCTCCCGAGTAGCTGGGACTACAGGCGCCGCCACCACGCCCGGCTAGTTTTCTGTATTTTTTAGTAGAGATGGGGTTTCACCGTGTTAGCCAGGATGGTCTCGATCTCCTGACCTCGTGATCCGCCCGTCTCGACCTCCCAAAGTGCTGGGATTACAGGCTTGAGCCACCGGGATTTTTCTTGATTGATTTACTCAAATCCTAAAGATTGTTTCTCCCTGATAATAATATTTATATTTTTTCAGAGACCTTTGTCTATTCTGGTCTAAGGTGGACCTATTGTGGTGTTACATATTCCCTGCGAAGTACTGGGAAAATATGACTTGTTAAGTTTTGTTGAAGCACAGTTTTACAAAATACTGTTGTAACTAGTCATCCAACTTTAGAATACCTGAACATTTAAACTAAAACCCTATTTAAAAAAATAATAAACTGAAACCCTGTATATCACTCTCCCTCTTGACATAGTTAGCAATCATGTACACAAAACCTTTTCTTTCCATTTTTTCTTTTTTTTCTTTTTGAGACAGGGTCTTGCTCTGTGACCCAGGCTGGAGTGCAGTGACACAATCACTGCTCACTGGGGCCTTGACCTCTCGGGCTCAAGGGATCCTCCCACCTCAGCCTGGAGTAGCTGGGCCAGAGGTTCATGCCACCATAGCAGGCTAATTAAATTTTTAATTTTTTTTGTAGAGAAGAGGCCTCCCTATGTTGCCCAGGCTGGTCTCGAACTCCTGGGCTCAAATGAACCTCCCACGTTGGCCTCCCAAAGTGCTGGGATTACAGACATGAGCCCCTGCACCCGGCCTACAAAACCTTTTCTACAGGCAGTTCTACACTCACCTAACACGAACTTGTAGTTACTCAATTTATTTTGAATGGAGAAGCCCAGTGGTTGATACAGGGTTCTCTTTCTATTTGGCACAGAACCTCTTGTGCAGTCTTGAAGAGGGAATAAGAAATGTCTGAAAATAACTTGTGCAAGGCAGAATGTGAGTATCATAGCAGATTTTTATGGGAGTTGTTTTCTGAGGGGCCTCTGGAGAGATTACAATCTATTAGAGTGAGATTTCCCTATGGATCACTTCCCTTACCTGGATGAGACATGAAAAGTAATGTTGTCTGGTTGTAGTCAGGGTTGAAGCTCTGTAACTCTGTCCCAGTACTCTAGTTTTATTTGATTGGTTTCACAATGAATGTATACCTATATTTTAATGACTTGATTGAAGAGCTTGGTCTTGATATTTGTATATCTTTATTTGCAGTCAGCACTTACCAGTAGAAATTTTGTGTTTCACACTTCGAAATGGCATTACTACCTCCTCCTCCACCTGGCACTCGGAGACCTGAATTAGAATGCTAATGGTTAACAAGAAAAGCAACAGTTTTTTTTTTTTTTTTGCGGCACTTTTCCTGTGGCCAAAGGACTACTTCAATTTAATATACTGTATTGTTAAAATGTAAGAGCTTAATTAGTTTTGGACATTGCCCATGTTTGTTAAATTTTACCAATAAATCTTAATTGTATCTTTTTTTTTAGTGAACTCATATCTTTTCTCTCAACCTATAGAAATACAACAGACCTTCATATTTGGCAAGGAGTCTACTGATGAGTTTTTTCATCAGTATGCTTATAAAACAACCTCTTTCAATAAAACTGTTTTATAACCTCAGATAATACATAGAAGGGTGTGTGTTGGTCCTCTGGGGCCTTTGTGCCCTGCCTGCAAATGCAAGTTCTGGGTTGACTGATCACATGTTTGGGGGTGGGACCCTGCCTGCTGTTTGTTCTTGGTGATATAACTAGGTCTCTTCCCCGAGAGAGGGGTGGAGATCTTTCCCTGTTGCGGACTTTGGGGTTGAGAACCTTTAGATCCCAAGCATTTTAAAATTGACTCAGTAGATTCCAATGGCTCAGTTTAAATAATAATTTTCTTTAATAGTGTGGCTCGTTTAAAACAGTTGGAAGAGTTTTGCTTATTAAAATGATTTGATTTAATTTAAGCCCAGTCTTGGAATTCTGAATTAGGGATTCCAACAATAACATTGTTTTAATTATTCTGTAAACAACTACAAATATGTTGTCTTCTCGTGTTCCTTTAGACTGCAGTGCAAAGGACTGTTTTTGGGGGGACCGGCCCTTCTTTGGAAGCAGCAGCCATCCTGCAAACCTTATTGTTTGATGACCTTTTCCATCAGGAATGCCCCAGGAAACAGTTTCATAATTGTTTTTCTTAAGTCTCAAGTGAAGTTTGTGATATGTCCTTTCAAGTTACTTTTGGTTAGTTCCTTAAGTTTACTTTGTTTTTAATTGGAAGCTCCACCTTTTTAACTTTGTCATGAATTGTCAGTGCTGAGTTCCTGGTAGTTGGTAAAAAGAATTGCCTTCTCTCTGATATCCTGTTCTGCAGGAAGTCCTTGTGGTTTAGATTCACAGTTTCTCATTGTTGCTGGCTACACTTGTCTCCTCCCTCCTATCCTTCCCTCCCCACAGCTCTAGCTTCTTTCTAGCTCCCCATTCTTGTATCACTTGCCCCACAGATACCCTCGTGATTAGAGGTCTTTTGCTGGAGGTTGACTGTGCTGTCTGGTAAGTATTGTAGTTGTTGTGGCAAAAACAGATAGATGGAAGATTGCAGGAACTGATTAGTTTTTGTGAAGTTTTCTTTCTTTAAAAAAAATATTCCCAAGCACTGATTAATAAACTATTTCTTTAAACAGCAGTAGTTTAAACTTTGAAATTGAGATTTTAGGACTCTCTCAACTTTCAAGAGGCATCTTGCAAGCTGTTGTTTCTGCGCTTTCTCCCTCCTCCCTGTTTCAATTATTAAATTTTGGAGATTTCATTTTTTTTTTTCAAAAAAATAATAGATTTTCTTGACTTCCTTAGAATTAAAGGCAAGAGTTGTGGGTTTAGTATTTTAAACTTCCTTCAAACAGAAGAGTGTTATTTCTGATTTCTGTATACCTATTTTCAGTATTAACGTACTGGTTAAAGTAATAGTGAAGAAAAGAGCCTATTTTGTGGCTAAATTGGAAAGTAGCTGAATGATTCTTTTTTCCTATCAGCATAATAGTGTTGGCAAAATCCGCTAAGATTTTGGCAATATGTTGTCAATTCTGGGAAATGGTTTGCCAAGTACTTCAGGATAACAGATGCTTCTGGGAATTATTTTTGGGAAGTTAGATAGATTTGTTCATTAGCACCTGCTTCCTTGAGGCATGAGGCCTATAATCCTTTTGAAAGTAAAATATTTAATATTTGATCTTTAGATTGAGTCAAATATCACTTTCATAATGGGTTATTTCCTTGTGTTTTATGTTTTGAGCTTCTAAGAATATTTGTGTATTAAAAAAAATTTTTTTTTTGGGATACTGGATGGTTGATACTTTGGTATTTCAAGCAGTTATAAGTGATGAGCTTTGGAGTCTCCCAAACTACAGGTAGTTAGAAGTCATCTTTATGGTAGATGATGTGAGAGGAAACTTGTTTCTGGGATTTCATTGCTGTTCATTTGAGGCACTTATTCAAATGATGGTTGTATTCGTACAGTAATGATTTCCTGAGCTCCTAATATGAGGTAAGTGCTGGGTCCTTGCTAAGTGCTTTGCATTTACTTCTAATTTCCAGTACAACCTGGCCAGGTAGTAGTATTGTCCCTCTAGAAAGCGGCTATACATAGGTAGAAAGAACATGGGTTTTCTTTCCTGCAAAATGAGAAAAATAATCACTATTTGGCAGGTTAATTGTGAGAATTAGAGGATATACCATGTGTCCAGTGCCTAGCGCAGTACCAAACATGTAGTTTGTATTCACTAAGTGGGCTACCATTATTATAATTTTACAACTGATGAAAGAGGATAAGTAATCTGCTGAAGATCACTCAGTTGTAAGTGGTAGAGCTAGAATGTGAACTGGCTCAAAGTGTGAAGTCTGGTAGCATGTTTTCATTTGAGTATTGTAAAGGCTGTTAGAGTAGATTTCAGTGGATTCCTTCTCATCCCTTCACCTCCTGCCCCTACAGAGGAAAGCTTCTTTATAGATGTTCTCCTTTGTTTGGTATCCTCTGTCGCCCTCCCAGTCAGTCATGTGCTTGCTCTCTCACACTGGAGTTGCTTGTGCCATTCAGTACCAGTGTTCTCCCAACAGAAATGAGTCAAGCCAGTGCTGTCAGTTTGCTTCCCCTCCTTTTTTCCTCTTGTTGATAGCACTGTCATACTTTCGTTATTGTTTGTACTGAAATAATTTGAGTATGAGTATATTTATAATGATTAATAAATAATGCATTGATGGAATCAAGTATTTAAATGTAAAAAGTTTTAGTGATTTTAAAAATTCAGGATAAAAATCTCTGGTTCTAAATGATTGAATCAGAAGGTTATTATATAGGGCAACTTTCTGGAACTCATTGTTTTGCTATCCAGGGGCCTAATAAATTGCTATTGATTTTCATTCCTTTAACACTGCTGTTACTAGTTTGCTGCTATGGGCAGTAGGGTTTGGAAAGAACATTTCGTTTGTCCTACTGACCATAAAATAGAGTATCTTTCTTCTGCAGACCTTTTGGAAACACAAGGTATGATTTAGGTGCGATATGATTTAGGCAGGAGATTCAGGGATAAGCTAAAGAGCTGTTTGGTTATTCCTGTAACTGAGTTATCTCTAAACAGAAAAATGTGAGTTTGATTGGTCTCATGCAACTTAGTTCTTCATTTATTTGTTTAACAAGGAATGAGCATTTATTGAGTGTAAGGCAATGTAACTTTCTACATTGTATTCTAATAAAGTATTGATATACCGGTTACATGTTGATTCATGATGTTCCTGGGAGGGAGAGAGAAGTCCCAGTTTGTGTGGAGAGTTATTTAAAAAGACAATCCTTTGGGAAATGAATTAATGTAAATCACTGCTCCTTCCTGATGATGTATGACTATTAGTAGTTCCTATCACTATAAGTAGCCAGTAGTATGACTTCTTCAAACAGGTTTGCTGAGTGGAAAAGATTGCTAGTATTACGTAGGACTGGGAAGATGGGAGTAGAGAAGGGAGGAGCATTCCTTGATTGAGAAAAACAAAAAACAAAAAAACTGGGCATGTGCACAGAACAAATCTTTTTGTATGTGTTTTAAGGGTACTGGTAGATGAGGTTGGAAATGTGCAGGGGATAAGATTGTGGAAAGCCATTCAAAGACAGAATTTTGGCTGTGTTTTCTTGGTGAAGTTTTCTGAGCTAATCGAGATTCATCAGTTTGCTTTTGCAATATTGTATAGATGGGATTAGAGGGGAAAGAATAGTTAGAAAGTTTTTGCAGTAGTCTAGGTAAATTGTATTGAGAATGCACTGTTTTTAGAATACATTTTTCCCAGGCTGGGTGCGGTGACTCACACCTGTAATCCCAGCACTTTGGGAGGCCGAGGTGGGCGGATGGCTTGAGGTCAGGAGTTTGAGACCAGCCTGGCCAACATTGTGAAACCCCGTCTTTACTAAAAATACAAAAATTAGCCGGGCATGGTGGCACACGCCTGTAATCCCAGCCACTATGGAGGCTGAGGCAGGAGAATTGCTTGAGCCTGCGAGGTAGAGGTTGCAGTGAGCCAAGATCACGCCACTGTACTCCAGCCTGAGTGACAGTGAGACTCCGTCTCAAAAACAAAAACAAAAACCAACAACAAAAATGGATACATTTAAGAAAAATAAAAAGATACATTTTCCCCTCATTTTTATATGACCTTGGGATTTATGCTATCAATTATACTTTAATCTCCTGAAATTTTTTGTAGTTTTATGTGTGTGTGTGTTTGCCTGTAAGAGAGAAAGGGAGACAGGGGAGACAGAATGCATATAGAGGATGGTCAGTAATCATAATCACAGTTACTGTTTATGGAATTCCTGTTTTGTACCTGGCCCTAAGTATTCTGCATATATTATTTTGTTGCATCCTTTCAGCAAATCACATTTATTATAGGTAGTAAATGTCCTGAATGTGATGGAGCTACGATTGGGATGTAGATTCATCTTATTCTTCATCATCGTTATCCTCATCATAATCATCATCAACACATTTATTCCACACTTACCACATATTAGGCACTGGGCTAATTATACATATCTGCATTATTTTATTTAATTCTTAAAACAACCCTATGAGACAGATGTTATTTATTAATCCCATTTTTTTCTGATGAAGTACCTAAGAGTTAGTTCAATGACTTGGTCAATATGACACAGCTGTTAGGTGGTAGCACCGAGACCTGTTCTACTCCACTAACTCTGTGTCCCCATGTTGTATAATTCACATAATATTCTCTAGGAATGGGACCCTTTGGATCTCCATTGTAAGCATGTTACCTCCAAGATTCTGCAATATTGTTGGCCCTGCAGAAGGTACGCCTTTTTTTTTTTTTTTTTTTTTGAGACGGAATCTCGCTCTGTTGCCCAGGCTGGAGTGCAGTGGTGCGATCTCGGTTCACTGCACGCTCCACCTCCCAGGTTCACGCCATTCTCCTGCCCCAGCCTCCCAGGTAGCTGGGACCACAGGCACTCGCCACCACGCCCGGCTAATTTTTTTGTGTATTTTAGTAGAGATGGGGTTTCACCGTGTTAGCCAGAATGGTCTCGATCTCCTGACCTCGTGATCCACCTGCCTTGGCCTTCCAAAGTGCTGGGATTACAGGTGTGAGCCACCATGCCCAGCCTGCAGAGGGTACACTTTTAACCACTGTGTTCTTTCTACTACCATGCTGCCTCTCTTAGAAGTCAGTAAATTATACAACTCTGGATCATTATAAGGAAGGGCTAAGTAACCTGCAGCTGTCATTTCTTAGTTCTTACAATTTGTCAGTTATAACAAAGTGAAACATGCCTTTTTATTTTCTTTCCAACTACTTTTTAACAAGTTTTAGACAAATTTGTTATACATGACAGTTACCTAAGTTCTTGTGTAGTAAAAATAAGACTTTTTGTCCTTTATCAGCATACAATTCTTCTATTATACATGATGTAATAGTTTGAAACTGCCAAAGTCCAGCCCTCAGGAAATTGTTTGAGTTGAGTAACTATTCACTGGGGAGTTTAAGATAACCAGCCCATAAATCAACAAATAGCTTGGCCCTTTTTATGGTTGTAGATGCTTATCTCTTTCTATTGTCAAGCTTGAATCAGAAGCCAATATTGTTTCCATTGATACAGTCACTATTAGAAGAAGTTGTCAGCAGTATCTCAAGCTAGATATGGCCATTTTGTCGGTTCTTTTCTTTAAGGAGAGTCAGAATTTATCAGAATGTTAGAATTGGTTGTTCTAGGCTAGGTACCTTCAAACAAAAAGTTTTCTCTTTCAATGAAACTCTCAGTGATTCAATGCCTATTATATTCAACCTTTGTGTGGAATAAAAAAGATGCCCTTAAGATAAAATGTAGTCCATGTACACAAATAACTGTAATATGAGGGAGAATGTGAGTATTGTAATCCAGACCCTCCCCATGCACTGAGAGCACAGAAGAGGATGAAATAAATTGGGAGATTGGAAAGGTGAGAAGGTGAGAGAATGATCTGGGAAGGCTTTTCCTTGTAGGATAGTTACGATTTTCA